GGAGGGAGTTGAGTCTCCTGACCGCCTGACCGGTGAAAGAAACTGTCCTTGAGAGGTCCTGGTTTTGGCCCGAAGACTCTGCAGTCTCTTGTCAGCTGTATGGATTTCATTAGGATCACTGCTCTGTCTGTACATATTTAAATGACTGTAAATGAATACAACCATTGGCACGCAACAAAAAAACACTCTGGAAACCTCACTGAGGGTCTGTTTTCAACCATTGTTTGCCTTCTGCTTCATTCTCCATACTCTGTAATGACTTTTCCACGGCAAAAGCTATTACATTGATGGTGATGATGATGATGGTGATGATGATCTATGACCATGGTAATGACATGAGTTCCATGAAGAATGAGTCAGTCTAAAGGCTATTGTGAGGCTGTGTATCTGTGGAGCCTATGTGTGTGCATTTGTATCACATATGTATGCGTGTGGATAGGTGGATAGGCAGTGTTCCAGATACTGCGTGTGTGGATAGGCAGTGTTCCAGATACTAAAATTATGAAGTGGAACGACACATGGAGGGAATTTATATAATGATCTCATTCCGGAAATATATTGTAGCTTCCCATTTCCAGTGGGCCTTGGTGGTCGTAATATGGGTGTCGCTACTGTTTACACTAAGTCAGTCTCTTGTCAAGACACCACACAATGGAAACGTTAGTCCGAGTAATAGTTTTGAATGAAACAAGCAGTTATGGGCATTGTGTCTAAGCTGTCTCTTAACTTATATACCTTCCTCTTAAATCCCTATCTCTCCTACAGTGCTCTGATGGAGAGTCTGATCACTCCTCTCCAGGACAAGATTGAGGACTGGAAGAAGACAGCCAACCAGCTGGATAAGGATCATGCCAAAGGTACGCAGAATCCGCAAAATTATTCACCTAAAATACATAAGTTCAATAAATAACATAGTTAAAACATCAGTGTGGTTAGGTTCAGTCAACAAAACTAGTGATAGTTAGTCTGGGAGTGATAATGATGGGAGCAAAGGATGAACATTGTATGAAGAGCAAATAAATCCACATGGGAAGTAAGGTTGGGGTGGATGGTTGGCACAAACACAGGACTTTAACACAAGAGATCTGGGTTCAGTTCCTGTGTGAGACCATTTATTTCCCTTTTCACGATTTTTAATATCCCGCAATTGTCACAGTAAAGGGAAATACGAATCTACTGTGTGTAGAACCCATCACGCTGCAATCTTTTGCGTACTAGAGTTAACGTGTGAGTTAACAGGGAAATTAAATTCCACTGACTGACAGCAAGTCATGCTGCTCTTTACGGGTAATGTTGTATATATTTATGTGTTCTTGTATTACAGTGGGCTCACAAATAAGTAAGTAACAAGTACTATTAGTCAAGGCTGTCGTAAATAGTGCCCAACAGAAACAAAAAAGTTGGTGTGTGGTTGCTATATTTCATTGACTTTTTAGTGAGAAACTATTAACATGTATGGAGTAGGACACCGTCCACACACCTTTGGTTTAACTATTTTTTACTTTCTGCGTGATCAGGGAAAATCCCCTCTGTCACATGCTGACAAATACATGATACCATGGTCACAAGATGATGAGATCACAACTGTAAACATTGCTTAGAAAATCACTTTCTTCTTCTACTTCTTTGATAGTAGAAACTTTTAATTGCAAAAGAAAAAGAAATCGTGAAAGAACCCTGATACTTATTTGTATGTATTATAATGTAGTTTCGCATGCTTATATGTTAATCTTACTGGTTACAAATGTCCTGTACTGATAGCCCAGACTTACTTCCACAAATCAAAGATGTTCAAGGCACACTCTAATCCCTAAGGTTCTGCATTTCCCACCAATCAATGCAAAGTCTATCGGAGACCTCTTGGCTGCACAGCTTCTGAAGCGTTTATATTTAGGTTAATATTGCAAATGCAAGATAATAAGAGTTCACAGAGAGGGCTTTACATTCCTGTTACTAAAGCATCTCTGTTCATCCTTTTTCCAGAGTACAAGAGGTCACGGCATGAGATCAAGAAGAAGTCATCTGACACCATGAAACTACAGAAGAAGGCTCGTAAAGGTAACAGGCAGCAGTCAAACAGTCAAGCTCAGGCTCCTCTCACATTAGGCGGAAGGTCACATTGTAGAGGTCAAATGGTGTTTTGCTAAGACAACACTTACTCACTTACTCACTCAGACAAAATCAAATTTACTGGTGTTATTGGTGTTTCTGTGTAAGTGCTGGAGCTGTGGATACATTTGGACATTCAGTTCATTTTTACCTCATTTATCTTTATGGTCTCACCACTGTTTCTAGTAGTGCTAGTGAATAGTAAATCAACACCAATAACAATGTTCCCTGGGTCAAAACTAGATGAAATGTAGATTTATGGTTTGATTGGGATGCATAATAAAAGCATTACCAAACAGACTCAAAATACAGTGATTAGATTCAATGCCAACACACACATACAGAAAAATCATCATTCGTCATTCACTGAGGTCAGGAGCCATAGACTTTATACAGTCTAGGTCAAAAGTATTGTTGGTCTATACTGCCATCTAGTGGTGCTTTGTAGTATTTCAGGTATTTTCTCATTTGTCCTGAAACCCTTCACTCAGTGATGCAGCAACCAATAATTAGTGCTTTCTAATGGAGAAGCTTCCATTCAGTTGCCAGGCAGATGAATACATGAATGCAAGATATCTGTATATAAGTATATTTCAAAATAATATTCTTATTTTATATATATTTTGTTGTTGTCTCTTTTGTTAGAAGCAACTGTATGACTTTAACTCTGAGTTTATGTTATGTATTTAAATAATTAAACAAAAACATTATTAACCATAAAAAAAGAAATAACACAACATTTGGATTTTGGTGAATGTGCATTGTCCTTTGCTGTTAAGTTTGCGAGTGTCTGGTTAGCCCTGTCAGTGCTGATGCTTGGTGGTATTATTATTTGTGGGTTTAGTTTTTGGTTGCAGCAGTGTTATTTTGCTCTAACCTGTGGCACTGTGGCTGTCTTGTGATGGCTTCCTTGTACTAACCTTAACAATGAGTTCTGCTATTTTTGCTCTCTCTCCCCCCTTTGTCTCTCTCTCTCTATGTCCCCCCTTTCTCTTTCCTTATTTTGCTTCCTTTTTGCTGTCTCCTGTCTCTCTGTCTTTCCCTCCCCATGGTATTTTCCCCCCTGTTATAGAGATGCAGGGTAAGTATCAGCCTATCGCTCGCTTCAGCTCTGCCACATCACTTCCTTTTTACTCACATTTCCAACCTCCTCCTGCAGATTACCGTACACGCATGTATGTAGTGGAGGCTCAATCAACCAACACATTACTTATTGGTTAATACTGAATTTAGGATACAAGGGTTCCTAGTGGCCATGGGAATGTTTCTGTGTATATTAGGCACTTGTTTTACAATATAGAATATAGTCATGGAAGTTGACATCAGGGCACAGAGAGTGCCTTAGAGACTTATTAGTGAGCATACATGTATTGTGTGAAGTCCGCTACCGTTTTAGTTTAAGTTTTAGTTTAAATGTTAAAACACATATCTCATGTCCTCAGAGACCCAAGGACCATATTACAGCCCGTCTAATTCCTTCATTTTGATCAGTTAAGCCCCTCCTCAAAATATTTGTTTTTAACAATCTATGGTATCAAAGTGTCCAAATTGCTTGTTTTTTATATGTTTTTCTTTAAAAGGTTTATAGGGTCTTTAGAAACATGTGTACATATTTTTTCAAGGTATGGCAGTGGCAGATAACAGCAGGTAGCAGTGTGTTTTTTCTGTTCGGCCTCATGTATATTATTGCAGACAAAAGGATAGATACGTTTCTTTATGTTAGCTTACTACAGCACCAGTGTGTCACTTCACTGCAGAGCAACACTTTTTGAGGAGTTTTGAGGGTACTGAAAAATATATGAAGCAGATGCCTTGATTTTGAAAAACGAGTTGCAACACTGCAGCTCCTAAAGATGCTTCACTTCAGGTTTTGTCTCCTGGTGACAGACTAGAGTTCAGCTTCTACAGTTTTGTAGTTGTTTGAAAAGTTGGAGTCGTGCAGTTTCACCCCCGACAATGCATGATGTAATTTAACTTTTCCTCCTTGACTCCTGCATGACTTCTGTTGCTGCTACTGTTAGCTTTGTAGTCACACAGCAGCCTCATGCTGTCCCTTCTCTCTTGTTGCCGCAGACATCTGCGCTGACTGTTTTGCATGCTGTAACACTACAAAGAGTTATTTCATGTATTGCTTTCCATTCAGCGCATTTCGTGTTTATTTCTGTTAACGGTAGATAGGATTCTGATTTTCTACTCCATACTTATGCACCTATGTCTTACCTTTCGTCATCAAGAGGTTTAGTAAAGTTTTAAGACAGAAACACATTATTTGTGCTTTGGCTCTGTACTACCATTACACTGGGTGTGGACTGAGACAGAGAAAGAAGTAAATTGCACACTCCCACACATTGTGATCAGCTTTGTATGGATACATTTAGCCCATATCTTAAATGACACAATGAGAGACCACAGAAAAGCAATGATAAGCTAGACTGGCTGTCTCCCCAAAAAGTGACCAGGGTGACAGCACAAAAGACACATGCCGTTACATGTAATTATCCACAAGTCGAAACTGTCTTGCAGTCAAATTTGACAGCAACAGAGACTCTGCAGTTCCTCTCAGCTCTGCTGTTTTAGGTTTGGTTTTAGTTGCAACTTTACTGTTTTGGTTCACACTCGCTGCTCTCATTAGTACTGTTTTTGGCCATGGCAGGCACTTTTATTTAGCACTCTAAAAAACCCACTATACACTAGTTGTCCAGCAACAGCAGGCAGACATGGTTAGAGACCAGCTGGTGAACAAAGTGGAACATTTAATTGGTAAAGAGCCAGATATGCTCTCTCTCCAGATATTAGAGACTCAAATTTGTCAGGTGGACACACTCAAAATGATTGCTTATGTTGCTCCGTGCCTGTTGGATGTGTAAATAGGAAACTATTTGTGTGGCTTATAGGGTACAGTAGTGCTTTTTATGTCCCTCTATACATAGTATGTAGGACCTTATGTCATTAGTGTGGCTGCTGTCTGTCTAATATAATGACATATAATATAATATAATGCACTTACTGTATAGATACAGTAAGTACAGAGCCAAAACATCAAACAAGGTGTTGCTGCTTACTTTGTCTCACTCAGTCTCATAATGTATGCTAGTGATTTGATGGAGCAGTGCATTATGGGAAGCAGAGGCTGATGGAGAGATATCCCATCAAGCCCACACTGTGTTAATGCTTGTTTTGTTCTACTACTGTAAATACACTTTTTCTGCCTTTCACTTACACTATCTTCACTTCATTCTTTTTTCCTATACATCCTTTTCATCCACCTCGTCCTGTGAAAACCCCTCCTCGACCTGCCTGTCTCACTCTCTTCTACCTGATATTTTTTTTCCTCTCACCACCACCAATGTACCCTCCCCACCCCAGGGCGAGGCGACCTGCAGCCTCAGCTGGACAGTGCCATGCAGGATGTGACTGACATGTGCCTGTTGATGGAGGAGACAGAAAAGCAGGCAGTGCGCCGGGCCCTCGTGGAGGAACGGGGTCGCTTCTGCACCTTCATCGGCTTCCTTCAGCCTGTCGTGGTGAGGAGATTGAGAAGGAGGGATGGCGATAGAGTGGAGGGAAGGGAGGAGGGAAATGTGTAAGGGGCACAAGCACTATCTGACCTGCTGCACAGTGTGACCTTATTGTTGCTGAGCAGCTCCACTGATTAATGGAAGTGAGTAATGACAGAAGGCTGTATATGGGGCTGAGCAATGAAATGAGTGCCATAATATTAATAAGAATATGTGTTTTATATTATTATATGGCAAACTTAGGGAAAATAATATATCAAATATTCAAATTAATGTGCAGTGCAATGAGCTACTCCAGCTATTATATATTACATCGGGATAGAGTCTTTATGTGTGCAACATGAAACAACTGAAATCTAATCTAAATCATTCTACATGAATGTACACAATGACACTGAATTTAAATTTCATGTTGAGATGTCAAGATTCACTCTCTTGATTGACACATCCCAGCTGCTGTACCTTGTCTCTTTTAGTGCTGGTATGTCACCTTTCTCTGTCGCAGCTGAACAAAGAGAAACAATATTGATGTATAGAAATATCTCCAGCTCCCAAAGTGTTAAAATGATATTAATAGACATTTGGTGAGAAATCAGGTGAAAGAATATACTCCAGATTTATATATTATTATTACTGATGTGAAGTACGGGTGTCTCTCTCTCGTTTTTTTTAGAATGGAGAGATCGCCATGCTGGGAGAGATCACCCACCTCCAGGCCATCATCGATGACCTCACTGTGCTGACAACCGATCCTCACAAACTGCCCCCAGCTAGTGAACAGGTGAGACACCAACACGACACATAGATCATGTATGAAGAAAGAAAGAAATAATCAATAGACATGAGCAATAGCTGTATTTATATGTGTATTCTGAAAGGGTGGGGCTTAAACCGGAACTGGGACTGACTGGAAGTCGGAATTTAGGCTGCAAATGATGAGAAATATATTTATTATATTATTATATACAGCTATTTACAGAACGGCCTAAGAATGGAGCTTCCGAGAAATGTTTTTGATCAGAAGAGTAAGACAACTAGTTAGTCTACATCTACAGTTTACATCTATCAAGTTTCTATATTTACGAATTGACACATCATACTCTGATGATACTCGCAATAATAAAAAGTACATTATCTGATACTCGTTTCAGCCGAGTACTCACTCAACCCTACTAAACCTCCCTCTCTTTGTCTCTACTTCAGGTGATCAAGGATCTGAAGGGCTCAGATTACAGCTGGTCCTACCAGACCCCTCCTTCATCTCCAAGCAGCTCTGGCTCCCGCAAGAGCAGCATGTGCAGGTACTCACAACTACACACGTACATACACCATGTGTTATAAACTGTGTCAGAAAGAGGAGCCTTCTCTGATGTGTGTGATTCACTGCGACTGTCAGTCTCTCTGTCTGTGTGTCAGCCCATCGTCACTGTTCGTCCAGTCATCGTCAGTTCAGTGGAACCTCCAGATAAATGAATGACAGCCTTCAGACGGAGCAACATTGTGTAGAAGTGCAGATTTTCTTTATGAACAGCTGAATGAAAGATGACAAAATATATAGAATTTTAGCATAAATTGTACACGTCAGCATGTGGGCAATCTCTGCTTTCTTTAGCTGTAAAAGCATACAGTTCTCAAATTCAGGATCTTTGGATAACAAAATGAATACTACAAGAAGAATAGTGTAAACTGAAAATGTATTCCTGTAGTTCTTTGTCTGAAACAAATCATTTGGGGTGTGTGTGTGTGTGTGTGTGTGTGTGTGTTAACTGTGTCTGTCAGTGTGTGCATGCAGTAGCAGTTGCCCTCAAGGCGATGCTCAATAGCATGCAAGTTCAGAGCCTTTTGTGTACGTATGTGTGTGTGTGCGCGCAAGCGCACTGGATCCTCATATGTTTACACACTCTCTGTCTATCCCCTCTTGCCCCTTTTTCTCCCCCTTCTCCCTCACCACAACCATCACTCTCTGTGCTTGCTGCTTTCTTCCCTTGTCTATCACTTATCTTTGCTGTCTTATGTGTGTGCACTTGTGTGTTTTGCCCTCTTTCTCTCCTGGTTACCTGGTTTCCTTTCATTTCGGGGTCTCTGCTTTTAACTGTGTGTGACTTTCACTGACCTGATAAACCAACAACTTGCTGTGGAACTACTCCTGAACCTCACCCCATCACGTAAACTAATCACAAAATCTCCCAATCATCAATTTACCATCTTCCAATCCAATAACCAACCCCTCATATCTTACACAATTTGTTTCCTCAATTGAACCGTCACTTTGACACATCCTTATCATCATGCTCTTTCCCCCTAAATACTCTCCTTACTCCACATTGGCGACCGTCACCTTCATCCTCCCCTCACCCTTCCGTCACTCCGCCCTCTACCCTGCTCCTCTGCACCTTTCTCCGCCACCCTCCTGCAGCAGCGTCAACAGCGCCCACAGTAGTGCCTCCCGTTCGTCAGGGGGAGGCGGTAGTGCTGGTATTGGTGGCGGTGGTGGAGGCTCTCAGCCCCACTCACCCACCTCATCCTCCTCCTCCTCCTTACGCTACCGCAGCAGCCTGCCGCACCAGCCTCCGCCACCGGGGGGCATCACTGCCCACCGCCTCAGCAGCGTCTCCTCCCATGACTCAGGCTTCGTGTCCCAGGATGCAAACATCTATTCCAAGCCCCCCTCGCCCATGCCCTCAGACATCACTAGCCAGGTACCGTACGCACACACCGTAATATACACACACGTTTATGTACACAAATGTGGTAATGAGTCTTAACATTTTGGTATCCAGCCATGCAACTGAATTAGCAGCAGAAAGTTAACATTTGATTTTACAAATTGATTTACGTTGGAAACTGACCAGAATGATCTAACCTCACTGGTATTTTTAGCTTGTTCTTTTAAAAGAAAAGATGGATATTGAACCTTCATACACACACACACACACACACACACACACTGCTCACATGAACATTGTTCTTGATCAGTTTTGGCAAATAAATCAGTGAACAAAGCTTTGTGTTTCCCTGCTGTAGAAGTCATCCAGCTCAGCATCATCAGAGGCCTCAGAAACATGCCAGTCAGTCAGTGAATGCAGCTCCCCCACCACTGTAAGTACTCTTATTCACACTGTACAATATTATTGGATAACAACATTAGCAGTTAAAAGCAATTCATGTGTGGCACAAATAGAAAAGAACAGGTACATTTTGTTAGCAGTGTATCTTTATAATCAGAACTTTGTATATGTTTATTCCGTAAGAGAGGACCAATAAATACATATATATTTAAAACTTGTTTCTTTATATTAAATAGATAATTTGTATGTATTGTTTTGTTTAAAACGTGAGGAAATTTCATTAACCCCATCAACCAAGATGCTAAACAATGGTGAATGCACTGTGCAGAATGATTTATGTGCAGATAGACTCTGGAAGGATGTTTTCACATCCATCTGCTGCAAGTGGAAAAGTTTGCTGAAAGTTTCTCTGTGCTCATTGAAAATCTGATTTTTAAGGGGTGGGGCTTACCAGCTTGATTTGTGACATCACAAACAGTGTGATGTAGAAACAGGAAGCCACCAGTACACATATACTGAGAATGGACTTTACAGTGAAGTAGGAGAATAAAATGTGCATATTCATAGATTCTGTCATTTTTAATGGGGTAGAAAGAGTAGATGACTTTTTAGGATTTTAATGTGGAAATTATATTTATTTATGTTTTGTGGAAAAAACCCATCAGACACGCAATATTGTTCTAAGCAGACTATTTGTATATGTCTTGATACATGTCTGGAGGGGATCTTTAAACCCTCTGATATTCTTTGCCAAGGTCAGAAGATAATGCCATCTGTTTACTTAGTTCGCCTATTATACAGACAATTGGTCTCTTAGTGGTTTCATAAATCCCTTAAAACAGTTTGCAGATATAACTTTACCCAACAATGTATTCGATTTTTTACACAGAAAAAATATTTGCTTGCACAAAACTTGTGGTCAAATGGAGTTATTGTTAAAACAGCTGTGACGTTTGTTGTGATAAAAAGTCATTATAGAACAGAATTATGCAACACATGCTGTTTCAAATCATACGCTGCATTCACCAAGGTAGCAGGAGTTGTATTTTAAGAGTTTAATGGAGTTTTGAAAGCAGTGGGAGATTTCGACTGCTGTATAGCCAGGCTAACCTGCAACGGAACAGACAGTAGTGGCTCTATGGGTGCTAAATGGGCTTCCAGCAGAGAATGCTTTTTGGTGATTCAGTATCAAGCAACGTGAAATCAAACACCATCGACTTACTTTACGAGAGTAAAAATGCACCTCAGACATGAGCAGTTTGTTTGATTAATGGATTCCCATGCTTTCCAGCTGAAAAATATTTGATTGCAGGTATTAGACTCAAAGGTCAGGTACATAGAGCAAAGTGCTGTCTCCCTAAGCACATAAGGGATATTTTCCTCACCTGCTCATGTTTTGTATTTTGGTTTGTTTTGGTGGTGTGCTTCAGTGGTTGAGTGTGATTAGCAATTCAGCCACAATTACAATTTTGGTTTAAAGGTTTGCATCTTCGTCCCAGCTCAGATGCAAACTATGCATGGAACACTTGTATTCTGTGCTGTTTTCACCACTTTAATTGGTGGTGGCACACTCATATAAACCTCTCTAAAATCACATATTCTTTGTATTTATGTTCAAGAGCTTGTTTCCTTCCCTTTCGTTTTATATCCTTCAACCAGTATGCATGTATGTGCATGCGAAAAGAAAAAAAATTCCAATGACGCTCGTGAGGCAAAGTAAATATTCCTGTCTGATTTCAAGCAGCATCTATCATCCTCAACAGCTTGCATATATGACTGCCTTCCCTTTCAGTTGATTAACAGCCTTAACAGCCATCTGACGGCAGTAAGTTTCTGCTCTAATTTGAGTGAAACGCATTCTCAAGATGGATTGCATGGCCCAAATCCACTGGTTACCTTGATTAAATCTCTCACAGTAGAAACAAGGTTATCAAAAGAAAGTTACCAGTGGCTATTTTCTATGCTACAGTGATCAGTGAAATCAAATCCATCGGAATTTTAAATGCATGCTTGGGGCTGCTTTAACACATCCCATGACATTTCTAACATAAACATAGAAAGTAGCTGTCAAAATGTAGGCTCTCTAGGCTTTACTGAGTAGTTCTTAGACTAATTCCACTTAGCTTGCATATATATTGATATAGAGTCATTGATCCATGTACCAGTAACTAATTGTGTTTTGAAGGCTTTTTCCATTGTCAAATCTGTTCCTGCTCTTCTGTTTCACACTGAGGACTTGGTGTGTGAGTGTCTGAATACGTGTGTTGCTTTAATTCTCATGTGTTTGGCCCGGTGATCCCCCACCACAGCCCGCTGCCTGTCTCTCTTCGTCTCTCTTGTCTCTACCCTTTCTCTGATGACGCGACTATGTCTCTCATCCCGCAGTTTGGCACGTCCTTCGCTACCTTCCGCCCCGCTCTCTCTCACTCTGGCTCCACCAGGCCTCTCTCTGTCATTCTTCCTGTTCCTGCGTCCCCACCCTATACCCGCCCCCCTGGATCCAGCTCCTCCTCTCCCACATCAAAGGTTCCTATCTGGAAGGTTTGTTCTCCATTCGCTTCCATTTCTTCAGTTGCACCTTTTCTTCTGTTTCAGTTTAATACATTTAAGTTAATTCATTGGGTTTATTTTCTTTTCATTTCCATCACCTGATTAACTTATACATAACCACATTGCTTTGCTTCCTTAAAGTCTCCACCCTCACTTGCTGTGTGTGCATGCATTTTTTATTTTTTTTTTTGGCCTCCTCCTGGCTCACTTACTGGTTTTGCAATCTACCGACTTGAGATTGGCCAAAACTAAGCGGGGCGTGGAGAGCTGACCAGTCAAACTCATCAATATGAACACATTCAAACGCCCCAAAAGGCCCCTGCCCACATACACCCACACACCCGCACTCTTCCACACACCCAGACACACTCCACCCATATGGGCCCCCTCTCTCTGCACTCAGATGAAGGGCTTCAAACTGCTGGATAGTGGACAAGTCTCTCGTGCTAATCCTTCCTGCTACTTCCTGTTTAATAATTCGACTCACCTCTTCAGGATTGGTCCAAAGCAGGTCAGTATGAACAGCCAGTGGCTGTGGCTGCAGTTCAGAGGAGAAAGGAACCTCTTGATAGACTGAGGGAGAACGAGGCGTCACCAGGCTCCCAGGGATACGCCGGGCCGTCACACCTTGATGACACACAGAGATCCAGGATGACCCCGGCTACCATTGCTGCCAAGGTAACGCTGGATATAGGAGAATTAGACAAACCAAAGAAATAGGTTAGGCTAGGTTTATGGATGGATATTCGTGTGTATAGCAATGCATGAGTGTATGGCTTATAATAAGCCATGCTTTCAATTACTCTACAATGAGTTTGATAACCTGAGGATTTTACCATCCTAGATGGAAAAATGGATTTGATTATTAGGCTGTAATTAAACTCAAATTTGAAAAAAATCAGTTTTGTCTGTGTTTTAGAGTGATAGATATATGTTCTGGTCCAACTGACAGAAATCATCATCAACAATAATAAGCCAAATACAAATAAATATGATCTCAAAATATATCATATTAATATTTCATAAACATGGATGTAGTTTCTACAACATGAGAGCATTTGTTGAAACACCCACATCCAAAATAATTGTAGTTATGAATTAATTGACAGTCATAAGAAAGCATGAAAGCAAGTCTCTGCTGACATGAAGTAGAATTATTTATTTTACAGTGGATGGTATAATCATTTTATTTGTATTTTAATATTATCATTAACTGTGAATTATTTGCACATGTACTGTCTACCGTATGCTGAAGTACTCACCAATGAAACAACTGGCTCAATAAACGTCATTCCAATGCGGCCTGTGTCTGCATGTCCTCAGCACGGCGAGGAGGTTTCTCCAGCAGCCAGTGACCTGGCCATGGTGCTGACCAGAGGGCTGAGTATGGAGCAGCAGAAAAGCAGCAGAGACTCCCTGCAGTACTCCAGCGGCTACAGCACAGAGACCACAACCCCATCCTGCTCTGAGGACACAATTCCTTCACAAGGTGAAACTCTAATCTGCTGTTCTCTTCTACTCTAACCGCTGTAGCTTTTAATCTTGTTCTTCCTAAGGAGCTTGCGTTTATTAAATTCCTCCTGGCCACATTCATCATCTTATATTTTGTAAGATCTCAGGAAAGACAGACCTGTCAAAGGATGATATAATGGACTTTCTGAAGTTAAATATCAACATTTAGCTTTAATCAGCTTATCACTTTTCACTAGAACCCCAGTAGACCCCTTTAGAGTGTAGTGTTACTGAAATCAAACAAAGTGAATCATCATTTTAATCATCCAACCAGCGAGAACAGTGTGTGACAGGTACATACTGACGGTTCCCTTGACAGCAGCTGGGAGATGACAATATAAAGATGAAATATTAAATGTGTTCATGCATCATTGTACTGGTTCTCAGTTTCTGACTTCCTTTGTCCACATAGCCTACTCAAATAATGTGGCTATCCCTATGTTAATGCAATAATGTGATCAAAGTACGATCAAAAGTAGTAAGTTATCTTTCCTATCCTTCTTTTGTTATGGCACTCAATCACTTCTCTAAAAATGTCAACATCTCCTTTTTTACCTCCCCCCATTCCACCATTAGGTTCAGATTATGACTGCTACTCAGTGAATGGGGATGCAGAAGGTCCCGATGGACAGACAGAGTTCGACAAGTCCTCCACCATTCCTCGCCACTCTAACATCGCTCAGAACTACCGACGCATGATCCAGACCAAGAGGCCAGCCAGCACGGCCGGGCTACCCAGTGGGGTTCTTGGTCCTGGGGTTCATGGGATACCAGGACAACCTGGTGGAGCAGGTGGCGGTGGAGCAGGTACTCCAGGCACTGCCACCATCCGCCGAACCCCGTCTACCAAACCAGGCGTGAGGCGCACACTGTCCAATGCGGGGCCCATCCCCATTCGACCACCCATTGTGCCTGTCAAGACCCCCACTGTTCCAGGAGACTCACATTCACCTGGCGCTGGTGGGGGTGGGTATGCAGGTGGAGGGCACGCGGGTGGCGTGCCTGTGCGTGTGGGCAGCGAAGAGTGTGTGTTCTTCACAGGAGTCGAGGATGCACAGGGAGCGCTTGATTATGTGAAGGCGTCACCAAAGCGTCTCAGCCTGCCTAACACTGCCTGGGGATCAGGGGCAGCATTAGAGGTCTACGCCCAGCAGCATGGGGGCCTTGCAATGGGAACGGGCTTAGGGGCTGGATCAGAGGAGGATCAGATGATTGCGGCCAATCGGCACAGTCTAGTGGAGAAGATCGGCGAGTTGGTAGCCAGTGCACACGCCCTTGGAGAGGGGCAGTTTCCTTTCCCCGCCCTCCCCGATGACCCAGCACTGCCACCAACTGGCCCCAGCGACAGTCAGACAGGGACAGAAGGGGCAGAAGGGTCCGGTGACATGTTGACCACCATTAGGAGAGGAGTCCGCCTTCGCAAGACCGTCTCCAATGACCGATCAGCACCGCGTATCTTGTGATTGGAGGAGAAGCAGGAAGAGGATGATACTTGTCAGCCAGTAGGGAATCAGGTGTTGGTGTGGTGCAACCCAACCGCCTAGTACATACACAAGAACATAACCATGTAGGGAAAGCTATAATATAACAGAAGATGAATAAAAACAAAAACATACACAAAAAAGTTTAAAGACGTCAGAGTAAATGATATATAATATAATGATAATAATAACATTAATAATGTTAACCCATGCTGACAATTAAAAGTTAAATACTGAATATTGACAGGCTCCTAGCTGGCCACTATAACTAGTGTGTGTTGGACGCATGTTTGTCTTCTCTACACCTTCACCCAGGGACGGAAAGACTTGCAGGAAAAACATACGATTAAAAAAAGGCAAAGAAAGAGAGAAAGACTGGGTTCTGTTTGCCGACTTACACCCTTCCCCATCCTCTTCTCCAACTAACCGACTGTCTCATCCCAGATGAAAGACTGATGACTGAAGGAGGGGGCCAGTGGGGGCAGGAGAGAGGGGGGTCAGAGTGCCATGTGAACAGCTGGATTTGAACCCAGGCTGTCTCAGCAGCAACATACTGTACTTATTAGCCCACTGAACTGAAGCTTTGGTATTAGCACGGGGAGCTAACAAGCCAGAGGGCTCCTCTGGTTCATCCTAATGTAAAAGAGTCTTTAAAAAAATACTGTTGGCATTGAACCGTGCTAGTGCCCCCTTCCCCTCTCTCTCTCTGTGTGTGTGTAGTGTGTGAGTGTGCGTGCATTCATGTGTATGCATGTGGGCAAATGTGAAATGTGAGTGTGTGTGCACATGTGATTGATTGTGTATGTGTGTGCGAGGGGGGTGGGTAGAGCTCTGCTGCAGGACAGCTGGTTACCCAATGAGGGCAGGGCTTTTCTCCTGTGTGTTGTGCGTGTACTTTCTTGTTTATATCGTGACGTCATTTACCTTGTTACCACTGTACGAGAAGTTATGAAAAGTAATCCAGGCGTATAGATATATTCATATATATTTTCTAGAACCAGAGAGAAAATGTTAAATCAGAAATGGAGCAATAAATGTGTTTTATTTTCTTGTTTCCAAGAAGAGGATCGATGGAGGATTGTAGGTTCTCCTTTGTCACATTCAGGCAATCATCAGGAATGCTAAATTACACATTGACTGTGAATTCCTTTTTGGCGTGTCTCTCTCCCTGTCCCTGTCTCTTTCTGGTGGAGGAAATGGATTACAAAATTGTTGAAAAAAAAAAGAACTGTAAGCACTTTGATAAGTGGTAGAGTATGTACAATAGCCACTAGGTGTTGCTGTAGTCATACTGTATGATAGGGAGAGTGAAAGTGAGAGAGATAGTTGCCAGTAAGACTGCGTCCTGAGGAAATTATTTAATTTGTAGAAGAAGAAGAAGAAGAAGAAGTAGAAGAAGAAGAGAGAAAGGGACAAAGAGGAAGTGATATAGACTGGTAGAATCGGAGTGATTGGTCAAATGAGAGATGGAATAAGAAAGTAGAGCAAAATACTGATCTAAAAATGGATTGGACGTCAGTGCTCTTCAGGGTTCTACAGCGCCATCGCCTGCTGTGGATTGTGAATGGCGCTGAAGCTTTTTATGATGGGTGCACTGGTATCTGAAGGACTGAACACATAATGCAAAAAATACAGAAATAGGTAAGACTACTTTTGCATATAGGCTATAAAGGGTTGGTTCACCCAAATGGCAAATAAACATATTTTCTCACGAGTCATGCAAATTGTTTATTGGCTCAGGTTAAGATATCTGCCTATCTGTCTCAATTAGACTACATTCTACCACGATAAGCACATTTGATTGATTATCAAGAGCAACAGGTTAGCAAGGCAACATATTGTGATTTTCTTGTGTGTAAATTAAGTTTTAGTTAAACTGAAAACCACCTTCACAACACTGATCTAGCAGTTGCAGGTTTAAACACAAAAATCTAGGCAGTGCTTTTGAGAACTGACAAAAAAATATCATAGTACAATATTTTCTTTTACCCCTATAACAAGGAAACTGTTTCAGAAGAATATTTTTAATTATTTTTTTTTTCAATACTGTGAAAACAAATAAAATAATATGTATATTATGCAATTTGTAATATGTTATGTGGGTTCAACGACACACAAACATAGATCAACAGTGGACTTGAAATGTACTTGCACATGCAGATTATGTTCATTGGATATACATTTGAGCGCACTCATTGAATGCTGTGGGACTGTATTTCCAAAATGTTGTAAATTACACAGTAATATCCACTCATGTTCAAGTGCAAATACATATCAGCACAAAGGCTTATTTGCAAATATATTCTTACCTATAAATACTGTATAATTTTGCATTATGAGACAGAAAAGTTTAGCCTTATACAAAGCTGAACAACAGTTTTTTGTCCCAGATTTGCCTGTAGTTAAAACCTTGCTATCTAAACTAAAGTGGCTACCCCAGTACCGTTCAGCTCAGTTCAGTGCATCAACCCAGTTCAGCTCAGGACACGGCTGTATGAAAGGATTATTTATGGACATTAAGATGTGAGAAAAGGTGAAGCCTGTTTGATGCGCTTGCTGATGGCAAAGAAGCAGAAGGGTGTAAATTAGACTTTTTATGCTGACAGAGAGAGGAAAATATGTGTGGAATGAGCATTTCACTGCCTGTTCAAACAATATTTACTCCATGTGCTGTACCTGTAAATGAGAATCCGGCGCACAGATTTGGTATAAAGGTTTGTTAGAAAATATTACATGGAATATTCCGTTTTTTGTTTTTGTTTTTCATTCTGCAGTACTGTTTGAATATTTAGTCTTACTTTTAATTAATGTAAAAAGAAGAAAAAAATCCAGTTGTAACACTAAGCTGTGTAACATATGGATGTAGGATGTGTGGGCCGAGAGTGAGTGTGTCCTTGTTTGGCTGTTGAAGTATAGGCTAGTGAAATCTTCATCATCATGTCTGTACGCTCTTCTAGCAGTGACCTGAACATAGCCGGTGATATCAGCGCTCTTACATGCTCTTTTTTTTCCCTTCTGAACAGAGCACTGTTTTAACCATGTTTGTGGCTGTTTGAAAAGAAAACGATGATGATTTAATTTAAAGAGGTAGAGAGGAGAATGTTTGCAATTTTTAAACATGGTCACCCTCTGCAAGCACACTTTTTTTTGTTAAACTTTGAAGGAGTGCTTCAAATTTTTTTTTAATTTGTCTGGGGGGGAACTACTGTATGTATGTGTGTTGTCACATGTGGATGCTGTGTGTTGTATCAGCTGAATCTGACTGGGTGAGAGGGTGGAAGGGGAGAGCAGCGGGCTTGGACTCCATCCCCCCCCAAAAAAAACATATTTTGGGTGAGAAAATGTTGATCTGAAGAGTTTGTTTAAGACCGCCTGTCGAGGTCACACTGTACATGAATATACGTACGTCTGCTGAATGTACTGCAAGGTGAAGGGGGACATCGGACTGTACATTTTTGACTTGCCTGAACTATTGCAAGGTCAGAACTTTGTTCTCGTACCATGGAATGAAGTTTCCAGTTTAAACAGTAGGAAAGCAATACAGAGACAGTGTACATGTACGTACATTCACAACAATGTTCCAGTGTGGGCATGTTAAAGGAAAATACTGCTGTTTTGTCCACTCAAGGATACTTTTGTTCTCCATCCTAAAGCTACTCCACATCGCATGGCTCTGATGGCATGATCTGGAGTTTAGGACACTGTTAGAATCTGAATGTGTATGTGTAACAACTGAATTCACTGCCAGTTACCTACAGCGAGATATTTCCTGATAAAAGGGTTCATAATGGCCTGCAGAACAGACACGCTGCTTAATTCACAATGATCATGGAGTGTGAGATAAGAGGAAGATAAACATTGCTATTTTCCTTTAAAATGCCCAGTTAACAGCACAAAATGTTATCTAACTTATCAATAATGTCTTTTTTTAACATGCTGAATTAACTGTGTACTGAACTAACTGTCTGAACAAGCTGAAATAACTACTCCGCTACAGGTGTGTCAATATGCCCATGAGTGTATGTGTATGTGGGTAGAAGTAGGCCTACCAAAGGACATTCTGTAGGAACACACATTGACACATAGCCAGATTTACATGCGTGCAGGCATGCGTGCATAAACACAAACACACACACAAGCACAGATACGCATCATAGGATACACACAAAAAAACAATCCCTTCTTCCTTAACTGGTGAAAGGACACAGTCCCAACTACAGCATGTCCAAAAGGAACTGGCACTGTATTAAGTAACATTTTGTTTAACATTAATTTCATTGTTTTGAGTTAAAAAGTTGAAAATATCCCATCTATATTCTCAGTAACATCACATTTGAATTTATTTTGCTATTAGCTGCTAGCGTGTGAGCTAGACAACATCTAGATCAATACAAACATGGAACATGGAACATTTCTTTCATGTTGCAAGTAGTTACATACAGTATGCGTACTTGAATAACAGTTGAAATAATGACTTCAGAAAGTACTGTATTTCAATACATCCAGCTAGCCCAACAGATTATAGTGCTGTTGAGTATCAGGTATACTATGACTAATATGAGTTTACATAGACTGTCCAGTGTCAAATTGTTTGACATTTTGGAAAATACTTTTATTAGCTTTCTTGCTGAGAATTAGATGAGATGATTGATACCACTTTCATGTCTTTACGATTAATATGAAGCTTCTTTAGCTTAGCATAAAAATTGGAAGGGAGTTAAATAATCCACCCACCAGCATCTCTAAGGTTCTCTAATTAACATGCTATATCTTATTTGTTGAATCTGGACAACAAACAATGTGTAAAAATGACGTTGACGATGATGACGATGATGAAGTTGTGGTTGCCTGGCACCTGGTGGAAATAAAATGAAGAACCCAGACTAAAAAGTTAATTTTCCTAAATGTTGAGCTATTTCTTTAACATTTAATTAAAATTTAGTTAAAGACAGCAGAATTAAGACGTCAACACTCAACAGCACCATTATCTGAAAAGCTTGGGGCCGTAGGAAAACTGCCGATTAAACAACTATGAAATTTGCGTTTCGACACTCGAGTCTTTTTGACCAACTAGTATGAAGTATGGGGAGAGCAAAAGAAAACTTAATTTACATATTCCTCTGATCCCAGATGTTTTACACGCACTGT